CAACCCTCACGTGAGTTTTGAAAAAAACAAATTACTTCCCAAGACTACATCCATTCTCCTAGATGAGACTATTAAAGAGATGGAGCTTTTCAACTAAGACCAGATGGGTTTGTCCAAACATAGCAGAGAGAAAGAGAGAGAGAGAGAGAGAGAGAGAGAGAGAGAGAGAGAGAGAGAGGAGTACAATGGTATGACTTAAAAAATGCATATTAAAAGCAAAGTGCCAGAAAGGGAAAACACATTACAATAGTGCTGCTATGACCAAAAGATATTAGTAAAAACATCACTCAAAGAGTCTCCCATGGGATTTTTATATTATTGTTAGTAGCAGTCACCTCAGGGAGGCTGAGAGAGTAGTATTGGTACTTTTAAAAGTTTGCCTGAATTTTTAAAAGTTTTATTTGTATTCTAATTATGTGTGTGTGTGTATAGGATGGTATGTGCACATGAATGTAGGTGCATTCAGAAGAAGGTGCTAGATCCTTCTAGCTGGAGTTGAGTGTGGTTGTGAACCACCTATTATGGGTGCTGGGAACTGAATTCTGGTCCTCCTCTGAGCCACACATGCTCTCCAGCCCCCTTACTATTTTGTTGTTGTTGTTGTTTTTAATTCATTTTATTCTTTGTGTGTTTTGCCTGAGTGTATGTATGTGCACCATGTATATGCTTGGTGCCCACAGAGGTCAGAAGATGCCCTAGAACTAAAGTTACAAATGGGTACAAGCCACCACTATGTGCATGCTGGGAGTTGAGCCCAGGCCCCCTGCAATAGCAACAACTGCTCTTGACAGATAAGCCATTTCTCCAGTCTGTTAAATCTTGAGTGCTGGGATTAAAAGTGTGTACTACCATGCCAAGATATCTCCCCCTCCTCTCTCTTGTGTTTGTGTGTGTGTTTGAGATAGTACCTGTTTGTATAGGCAGGGTGGCCAGGAACTGAGGCCATCCTCCTGCCTCAGTCTCAGAAGAGCTGAGTTCACAGGCCCTGCCACTTGGCCTGTCAGAGGCTAACATCCAATGATAGAGGACACAGAAGTTGCAGTACTTTTAGCATCTTCACAGCTCAGGAGGGCTCTGCAGTCTACTTGTCCAGCCGGGGCAGCTCTTGGCACTCATATCCCCAGGCAGGCTGGTCTGTGTGAACAAGGAGTTGGCCAAAGAGTTCAACGCTCTTTAGGTCCTAATATCTTTATATTACAATTCTGAACCCAAACTTTTACATGGAATAAGTTAAAATGAAAATTTTGTTAAGGGTTGGAGAGATGGCTCAGTAGGTAAAGTCATATGCTGCCAAACCCAACAACCTAAGTGTGACCTCTGGAACCTCCATAGCAAAAGAAGAGAACCAACTCCTTCAAGTTGTTCTCTGACTTCCACCTGTCATCACCCCACCCCCAACAAAATAAATAAGTATAATAATATTTTAAATAATTTGTTTTTATTTTGTGTGCATTGGTGTTTCGTCTGTGTGTATGTCTGTGTGAGGGTGTCATATCCCCTGTAACTGGAGTTACAGACAGTTGTGAGCTTCCATGTGGGTGCTTGGAATTGAACCAGGGTTCCCTGAAAGAGCAGCCAGTGCTCTTAACTGTTGAGCCATCTCTCCAGCCCCATAAGAATATTTTTTAAGAAGAGAGGGCAACTGGGGGTGGTAGGGAAAACCCTACCATATGTTTGAAACAGGGGAGATGCCTTAGTGAATTCTGGGGATTTGAGCTCAGCACCCAGCACCCATGCAAACCAGATACACACACTGCTGTTATCCAGCACTGGGAAGCAGAAACAGGAAAATCCTGGGGCTTACTGTCCAGCCAGTCTAATCAGCAATCTCCAGGTTTAGTGACTGACTCTGTCTCAAAAAATAAGGTTGAGAGTGATTGAGGAAGACACTTGATATCAGTGTCTGGCCTCTACACACACACACACACACACACACACACACACACACACACACACACACACACACAGAGGCTGTGTAGGCCAAGTCCACCTTAGAATGGATAGAAACCGTGAGCCTCCATGTACAACCTGGATGGGACACTATCTGGGACCACTGTAGTACGGCACACTGTACCACTGGCCAGGTTGGATTTCATCTGGGAATACCAAATCGTCGTCTTCTCTGCTCACCCCATCCTCTGAGGTCCCCCCCCCCAAAATCTGGTCATTCTCCTATCATTGTCACCCACTAGGTGGCACTGCAGACCCAGTATTTTACACTGGTCAACTTGTCTTGGTGGTCCTTCAATTTCAGCCCATCCAGGCTCCTTTCCTGCTACTGCCCAAGACCACTCTGGGGGCATCTTGACTTTTTTTTTCATTTTATTTTTTATTAAGGCAAAAAGTTCTCTTTATGTCTGGTTCCCTATTTATTTACTTGAATTTTTCCCCCCAGCACATTTTCATTTGGACTAGGCACATTTTAAGTACTTGGAGCCACAGTTGGCTAGAAGCACTGCTCAGATTGGGCAAGGCCTGGGTTCCTTCATCCAAGGGACAGCTCCCACATTGTAAACTGACACCTGTGGATCTGGGTATTGATGAGAGCCCTGTCACTGTCAGGGACCTAATTTCCTTGCCTTGGAAGGCTTTTTCTACTTAAAAGCATTAGCTTATTTTCTGAAACTCCTAGGCAGGGCCATGCACCCAGTTTGTCTCCCTAGCCATCCTCCAGACTTGAGATAGAAAGAGCTACCCTGAGGTCTGAGATGGAGAACATATCTCCCTAGAGGGCTGCCTTTTGCAAATGACAATGGTTTTTCCCTTACTGAATAAAATTTCCTTTTTTATGTGTTTGTGTGGGGAGGAATAGTATGAGTATGTGGGGGTGGGGGTGGTCATGTGTGTTGGCACACATGCATGTTTCTGCACGTGTTGTGGAGGACAGAGGTTGGCAGTGGGTGGTTTCTTCAATTTCTCTCCCCCTTCTATACTAAGTCAGAGTCCCTTTCTGAACCAGGGTCTCACTAATTCACAAGTTGGGGACCCCTGGTTCTGCCTCCCGAGGGCTGGAGTACAGGTTGGCTGTCATTCCTTCCTGGCATGTATGTGGTGTCAGCATGTATGCGGGTGCCCATGAGTAAAAAATTTAATATAGTTTAATTTACCAAACATGAAAATTCACCTGAATTCCTCAAACATTTTCTAAACTTACCAGTTCCCAGGAGTGCTTTCAGTCCCCCAGGGACCCCTTCAGGCAGTCCTACATGTGACCCCTCCTTGGGACTGGCATTTCTTCCTCCCTCCCTTCCTCTCTTCCTCCAGATAGCCCTGTGAAGTCAAACTCCTCTTCTACCTTTGCTAGGAGCGGTATTTCTGAAATAAACTTGAAACCCACCAAACCCG